CCTGAGCGCTCCAGCCCCAGAGCCCTGGCACATGCCAGTCCCCAGGTCGGCACGTCCCGCCTCCGCCTTTCCCCACCACCTGGTCCCAACCGTCCCTAGCTGTGGGTGGGTTTGGGTTTTTCGAAACCTCCTTTGGGGGCAAGTTTGTTGATGGCAAGGTAGAAAAACGGACTCTTTATTCTGCTCTAATCCCCGCTCGTGGAATTTCCCACCGTGTCGCTCACCTTTCCTCTTTCCCTGCGCCTGCCCCAGCCCGGACCGGGCCTAGGCGAGATGGGTGGGGGACAGCAGGGGTGTCAGCTTCCTTTCACCCCACCGCGGGCTCCTAGGCGCGGGGTCGAGGGAGCGGGGCGCTCACTCACCTCCTCGGACCTCTCTTCCAGTCTGGTGCTCGTCTTTAGGAAGTGGAAAACCGAGTCCCAAGGTGTGCGGTCCAGCTCGGGGCTTGGGGGGTGACGCGGGCTGGGCTAAGAGGGAGGGGCGGGGGGCCCTGAGCCGCAGGCCAAGGCCTCGCTTGGACGGAGCCTGAATCCTCACCACCAACCACCCTGGCCGGACTACCCGAGACTAACTGAGCACTGAGCCCTCCGAGGGCTGGGGAAGGAAGGAGGGGGGAGCAGGGAGGGGGAGGGGGGGGAAGGGCAGAAGAAGGTGGAGCCTCCGGCGCTTGCCTTCATCCCCAAGACTGAGGGCTCCTCCGCCAGCGCCCCAGCCTCCTCCCCACCCCCCAGCTGAGCTGGGCACCCCAGGCCCACCTCACTTGGACTCAGTTTGGGACTGGTCAGGGAGAGTGGGAATGAGGTTGGTTAGGCCAGGAGAGTGAAACCATGGGGGATGAGGGGCAGAACCTGTGGTCTGGAGGAAAATTGGGCTGAACTGGGGACCTGAGCCTCTGCCTTGAGTGCAGTCTGCATAGGACAGGGGAGAGAAGGGGAGAAGATTGGAGAGGGTTCTGTGGACGTGTGGGCCGAGGGTGGCCGGCCTGCGTGGCTTCATTTAGCAAAACTTACTGAGGTGCCAGGCCCTGTTTTCCAGCCAGGGTGCTCTTCTTTCCCTGATTTTTAGGGCCAGAGAGAGTACTTCTGGCCACACTTGGTGAGGCAAGGGGCAGCTGGACACCCCCAGTGCACAGGGCCCAGCTGCACCCCTGGACCCCTCCCACCAGCCAGTCGTCCTACGAGAGGCCTGGCCTGGCTCAAGGAAGAGACAGGACTAAAGTTCCCAGGAGGCTGGGTGTGGGATGGGGGATGGGGTCCTCTCAAATGGTCCTTCTTCTTAGGCCCCCACTCCCTCCACACTGAGCGCACCCTCTCTCCGGGGGGCCAAGTGGGTGCGAGAGTCCAATGCTGATTGCCATGAAGTTCCTACTATCCATCCCAAGGAAGGGTCAGGAGGTATCCTACCTCCCTCTTCCCTCCCTCTCTGCCCATCTCTCCCCTCAGCTCTTCCACCCCCAGCTGGGTGGCCCCCACCCTTTGACTTCCCTGCCTGTTCTCTGATGTCTGATGGCTTTCTTAGGTCTCTCTCTTACAGAGTTCAGGGTGGTGAAGGCAGAGGTGGGGTGGGCATGGAGGGACAGGCCAGGCTGGGCTGTGTTGGTGGCCTGGTTCAGATGTCCTCTGCTGTGAGGCCAGGCCCCAGGCCCAGCCCAAGGAGGTCCTATCTGGAGTAGGTCTGGAAAAGGGGTCTGGGGAGGCCAGGCCTTATGCTTGGGAAAGACCAGGGGGTGGGGGTGGGGGTGGGTAATGGGACACAATGAAGTAGTCACACGAGGCAGAGGCATGTTGGGGGTGGGGGGAGTGGACACTGAAACACACACACACACACACACACACACACGTGCTTGCACACACAACCCGCCAGACAATCGGGCCAGTGTGTCTGGGGCCCCGGAGCCCAGTGAATTAGGAGTTTGATAAGGGTTTACTCTTTCTCTCGCTTGCCGGCCTTGGACAATCTCCCCCCAGTTTTCCTCGATGCCACCCCCAGCGCTGCCAACCCTCCTCCCCCGCCCCCCTTCTCTTCCCTGTGCCCAGACTCTTGTTCGGGGCCTTGAAACAGTGAGCTGTCTTTGTTCGAAATACAGGTGAACGGCAATCATGTGATTAACACACACACACATAAAAAGCTTTTTAACAGCGCCCGCCCGGCCTCAGAACCGCCCGGAGAGGAGCCGCCCTGGATGGACAGAGGGACTGAGGGACGCGCATCCAGCCGGTCCTCTCCCGGCAGCAGCCTTGGACACCCGCTGCTCCCTGCCTGCTGCCTGCGACGGCATCTCTCCCGGTGGGTCCCCATTCACCCTTCCACTCCTGATTCCTCCTCAGGGTGGGGGAAGGACCTCCCTTCTCCCCATAGTCCCTGAGACTCAGGCTTGAGCCCCCCTGGGCAGGGGAGGGGTGGCTGTGGAGGGAGAGGCGCCAGGGCTAGGAAGCGGGGTGGGGGTTGCACAGCCACCCCTCTCCAGCTCTTAGCCTCCTCCTGCCCCCCTTGGCCCAGCTGTGCCAGGATGGGGGCTCGTGGTCTGCAGAGAGGCTACACTAGATGGGGTGGGGGTGAGGGGCCTCTCGCCCCATCTCCTCCCTTCTCTCCTTCTTTCTTGCTTTAGCTTGGGCTTGCTTGGAAGGTGTGGGATGAAGCAGGTGGGCCTGGGTGGGTGGATGGGGGACAGAGCTGTTAGGTGATCAGGGCTATGGGGAGGGACCCCTGCTGTGAACACAGCCCTGCCCACCACAATGGCAACCCCTGCAGGGAGGCTGAAGGCCCCATATTAATCTCTGGAGGACAGGGAATTTGGAAGGGGTGAAGGGCTCTGGGTGAAGACACCAGGTTGGCCAGTGCCAGTGTTTGCCTCACTCCCTGCTTGGGGTCCCTTCACTCCTCACTCCTGACCCTTCCCCAAGGATGCTGATAAGCCATTTACCCCGCCTCCCAGTCAAATTTGTTCAAACGAGGTTTGTCCCTTCACAGTGAGGTCCTGGGGCCATGGACCCTGGCCCTCCCTCTCTTCCCACGCTCATTCCTCACAGAAAGAGGCCAGAAGTGTGCAGGTCCTGGAGCAGTCAGACTTCCGCCCACTGAGGGAGCCCTGTTAGGAGCAGTGGGGTTTCATGCTAAGGTTGGTCCCAGACTAACTCAGAGATGGGCCCGGAGAGGAGGAGAGGAAGTAGAACTGTAGCAGCAGACAGCTCACGATGCCACTGCCCCCAGAGTGGCTTTGGGTCAGCAGTGACCCTTAAACCCTTAACACCCAGAGTCTTCTTCCTAAAGGGCACCGGGCCTGCTTTGAGAAGGCTCAGTGGTGTTCCTTGCCCCAGGCCCCAAGTTCTTCACCTGGGTGGGGATGATGACTGCCCTCCCCCCAGCACCTCCCAAGATGCACTGACGTGTGAGGACTAGGTAACCGGCAGCTCCAAGTGCCAGGCAGGGTGAGGGATGCCTGGTCAAGTGGGGCCTCAGTTTCTCTGTCTGTGAAGTGGGCCTAAGACTCTCCCTGATTCCATCAGAGGGCAAGTGAGAGGCACAGAGAAAGGACTCCATCCTCTGAGTACTGGGGATCCACTGGCGGTCCCCCTCCCGGCGCCTCAAACCCACACCAGCCTCCTCCAGCGGAGGGCCGTGCTCCCCACCCTCTGGCCTGTGGAGGGGCTTGGCCTAGAGCAGCACCTCTCAAACAGAAAGGTGCACACGTGAGGTTCTACATTTCTGGTAGTTTCTACCCAGCTCCGGGCCTGTGTTCTAATCTGTGCTGCACTTTAGAATCGCTTTGTAATACAAACAAATGCTGAGGCCCAGGTCCCACCCAGACCAGTTCAGTCTTGCTTTCTGGGGATGAGGCCCTGGTATCTTTCTTTTCCCAAAGCTCCCTGGCAGGACTCAGTGTCCCCCACTCGGGTCCCTGGAGTCTTGAGGCTGTGACTGACCCCCTGCTGGAAGGGCAGAGGGCTGCAGCTTTGGACCCAGAACTGCAGGGGTGCATGGGAGTTGTGGGATGCAACTGGGGGAGGGGCTGTGCACTGGAGAGTTGAGGGTCAAGGATACAGTGGTGAGCAGGTGGGCTTTCATAAAGCTTCCAGCTCAGGGTAGGGGGGTGTCTGGGAGGGAGACCACCCCCATATCTGGACAAGGCTGTGTTATTGCCAGTTTAGGGGGTAGTGATAGAGCACTAGGCTTGGAGTCCAGAACTCTGCCACTTAGTGCAAAGTGGACTTGGGCAAATTACTTAACCTCTCAGGACTCAGTCTCCTCATGTGTAAAGTGTTGGTGATTTAATACCAAATTATCAACTTTTAATACAGACACACAAACACATACAACCTAGCTGAATATTTGGCACATAGTAGGTGCTCACTAAATGGAATTAGAAAAACTAAATCTAGGTAGTAGGCTAGTCCCAGGAAGTGGGGAGGGGTGCTCGCCACAGCTCAGGTGTATACTGACAGCCACTGTGCACTTCCCTTCAGGAGTTCATGGCCTGGTCTTGGAAGCCTATTCTCAGATCACAGTCAGGGCCCTCAGCCTGCTCCCTCTTCCCAGAGAAGGCAACGTGGCAGAGCCTCGCTGTGGGCCCTGCTCCGCGGCTCCTGTCATGTGTCCCTCAACAACCCTATGAGCCGGTGCTGTTGTTAGTCTCACTCTAGAGGGGAAGCTGAGGCACACAGAGGTTCGATTATGGCCCAGACTCACACAGCTAAGGATGGTGGTTTGTGGTCTGGGACCTGAGCCCCATCTCTAATGACTCTGCTTCTCTGCCACTGGCCCCGTGTGTAGTCACACAGGACAGAGTCCCCAGTGGGTCTCCATACTTGCTCTGCCTGCCTCTCAGGGCCGTCCCTACCTCTTCACACCTCAGGCCCTCTCACAGGCCTTCTCAGAGGGGTGCTAGGATGCTTGGTTGGGATTTTCCATTTCTTTCCCACTGAGGAGGAGACAGCCTAGTACCTGCCACCCCTCCTCGCCGCCGCACAATCCAATCCCTGCTTCCTACTCAGAGCCCCTGAGGACAGGGCCATGTCTTCCTCCTTGCGCTTGACCTCTCTAGGGCCCAACTCACTGAGCTGAGTTGCTGTCGGAGTTCCAAGGAGGAAAAGATGGGGGAGGCTAGAGCAGGCAGGAGTGGCTTCCTGGAGGCGGTGGGCCTGAGTTCTCGGGAGAAAGACAGCATTCTGGGACCTGTTACAACAGGCACTCTCACCCCCTCCTTGCTTTGGGTCCAAGCTGAGGGTCGCAGAGCCCGGCCAGGAAAGCAGCTCCTGGGGCCTGAGTCTCCCTTCCCCTCCAGTCCCACCCTGTCTTCGAACAAGGAAGCTGGGGCCAGTGCCCAGTGCTGCCTCGGGGCAGCCTGGCCTCTGCCCTCTTCTCAGAAGCCTTCAGAGGAGACTGGTTGTTCCTGTCGTCCAAACCCCAGCTGCCAGAATGGCCTTCCTGGTGTCTGCCCTGAATCCTTCCCACTGCTGTGAGCATGTGG